AAAAAACCACAGACTAAGGAGTGGAAATAATCAATACAGACAATCAACTGCTCCAAGACAGAGACAGTTCCACAAGCACCCATGTCATGAGTTTTGCCTGTCAGCAGCTAGAGGTGTAGGGCCCCAGCACGCCCCTGCACCTATCTACTCGATAGCTGGCAGGCTTCATGGCCACAGCAGGGGATAGCAGGCCTGCACCTTTCACCCTGCTGCGCCTTAACACACACAGTGTCACCCATGTCACCAGTTTTGCCTGTTAGCAGCCAGAGGTGCAGGGCCCTAGAAGCCAGACTCCCCCTATACCTATCTCCTTGACAGCTGGCAGGCTTCATGGCCACAGCAGGGCATAGCAGGCCTGCACCTTTCACCCTGCTGCGCCTTAACACACACAGTGTCACCCATGTCACCAGTTTTGCCTGTTAGCAGCCAGAGGTGCAGGGCCCTAGAAGCCAGACTCCCCCTATACCTATCTCCTTGACAGCTGGCAGGCTTCATGGCCTCAGCAGGGGCTAGTACCCCTGCAGTTTTCACCCCCTGTGGTATAACACATATATGTGACATGAGTTTTGCTTTCAGGAATTTGGGTTGCAGTTCCCCCCAAGCCCCTGCATCTATCTTCTTGAAACTTGGCAAGCTTCATGCTCTCAGCAGAGGCTACCACCCCTGCAAGTTTAATTCAAATCAGACAAAAAAACAACAAAGTTATTGATATTTAATTGATTCCACATTATACCCCATGGCTGGATCTCTGAAGTGGCTCCAAAGCTTTTCCAAAGTGGTTCAGAAGCTCCGAGCTGCTTCGGAAAGCATAACGAGGCCAGCGCTTCGATCCAGACATGCTGTTTTGGACACCAAAGCGTCTGAAGCTTCTCTGGATCCGAAGCATGGTCCAAAGCCTTGCGCAGCCTTAATAGCTTCATCGTGCTTTGTGCATAAAGTTGTAACTCTACATTTGCTGTCTGTATAATGTATATGATTAAAGAACCTAAAAACAATTCATTTTATTTTGTTTTAATGTGCTTTAAGTGTACCTTGTAAATCAATCTCCATTTAACCCTAAGTATTTTTAAGGCAAGGAGTAAAGGGAATATTTACTATTTTTTCAAGGAAAGACTTATCTTCAGAGAAAATATTACATTCTGAGTATCTGAATGACTGAAACTAAATTCAAGGAAGTAGTGAGATATAAAGTTCCCAGTTCCATTTTTAACATTCGGGTGTTAATTCCTTTCATAGAGCATACAGAGATGTAAAGTTTCCATGTACAGTAATATCTGAGTACACAGAAGGCAAAGAAGTGGTGAGCTAGACACGCTTTTTAATGGGATAGATTTGTGATGCCTAATATTGCAGTACCTTATACAACTGCTTGTCTATTTGTGTGATACTATCAGGTAAGTAGTATTGACGAAATTCTGAATCAGACTGTTGACTTACTAAACACTCTACTATTAATTGATTGCTTTCTAAACTAGTTTCAGGGAATACTATTCTGAGCTAAGCTGAGCTTGAAACTGGGTCAGAAGGTTTAAACACTGTTCTTCATAAAAAATACATGCAAGAAATTGGTAAGCTACTTTATGGGAAACAGAATAATGGCACTCTCACTGCTAATACAGCGAAATTGCCCTCCAAAACAAAGGCTTTGTGGAAAAGGTAGTTTTCCTGCCTACTGTTTTATGAAGGCTTGTACACCTGTGAATGAGAGGCAGGAAAGCAGAGAAGCAGTAGAAAACAACATGGAAGCAGGGGCAGTAAAGCCCATCCAAAGCAAAGCCCATCCAAAAAAATCGCTTGATATATGGCCCTGAAAAGGCTAGGAGGGAGAGCTTTTGGGCTAAGTGCTTATTGAAAGCAGCGTGGAGCTGTGAATAAGTATACAATCTCTTATTTAATTCCTGCTGTGATCTGCAATATAGTTTATACCTTTTTTGTAAATTAATAGGATTCCATCAAAGAAACAACCATTTGTTGTTATTATTTTTTCTTTTTAGTGGAAACAATTCTCCACACCCCAAATTTGAGTGAGTACTTGGATTGAAAAGATTAAAGATGGTATTAGAAGTGGGGATAAATTTTCAGAGGAAGAAATTATGGGCTCATACTCTTGTGGAAACAAGACAGAAGAAATAATGGCAAGGCTTATAAAAACTAAAAGATAGCCAAGACGAATTTTAAAAAGCTAGCCCTTAAATAGGAGCTGAAGATATTATAAAAAGAATTAAAACAATGCCTGGAAGCTCCTGCCGAAAACATGGAAACTATGGGAAATCAGAGATAAATGTGGAATCAGAGATAAAATATTTGTTGGAGAAGCTATGATGGACCACCTAGACAAACTGAAATAAATTGCTATGAAACTCTGGACTGGACTGCCAAGCAAGATCAATAAAATGACTAGCAACTTGATAGCTGTGGACCAGAATGTTGTTCAGGAAATGGGGTAAAACAAAGTAGCTTTGGCCAGCTTGGAACTTGCAGTCAGAGATGGAAAACAGCAAAGATTTAAGGAGCTAAAAACATAGCTCCAGAAGGAAATCAAAGGGATGCAGACCACAGTGGAAGGCAGCTGCTTGGATGAGGACATTTGCCAGCTGGAGAACTTAAAACAGGACATTTTCAACACTTTTGTGCATCCTTTTTAACCTAATGAGGGTCAGACAGAAGGGGTCAAATTATTCAAGTTCAAATAAAGCAAAGGACTACTGGCCTTACAGGGAAAAACTCTTTGGGGGATGGGGATGCTTATTTGGCTCAGTTGAACATCCTCTGCCAAATGAATGGCTAGAAAGATGGACAAGAAGGGACTATTTGAACAGCCAGCATGAATAGCCCCACTCTTACAGAGGTGTTACAGAATCTATCCCTAGAAAAGGGCCTGATTTATTAACTCCCAGAATTAGCTTTAGTTTCAAGCCAGACAGACATGAATCTGATGTGGACAGAGCATAGTTAAGATCTAGAGAGAAAGGGAAGAAAGAGGAAACCTCAATCTGAACTGGCAGAGGACCTGTAATGGTTTCTGTTCCTGGCATGACAGATACCAGATGCCAATAACCTCTTTGCTCAAGCTCATTCAACCAATTACATAGTCACCTAATAGTAAGTCTACCCAACCTACATTTCCCCAGTTTACTTATGAGAACATCATGTAGGACGTGCCTAAAGCTTTAGTGAAGCCCAGGTAAAGTCCACATTCCCTCATCCACTAAACCAGGTACCCTGTCAAAGAAAGAAATCAAGTTTGCTGGGCACAATTTGTTCTCAACAAATTGATCTTAGCTACTAGTGATTATTTCTGCCTCCTGTAGCTGTTGACAAACTGTGTTATAACAGTAAATTTACTCTGTTCAGGAAAAGGAGGTATACACCAACCTTGAAAAGGTGTAAAGCTTGGTGGTATGTATATCAATGCCAAAGTATCTATTTAGATGTAGGCAGATAACCAGCAATAATGGAAGATATTCAACAAGTCATGGTTGTTATTAGACCAAATATATTAAAGAAGCTAAGGCATAAGGGACTAAAAACTGAATCATAGGTAGGAATCATAATAGCAGTTCCAAGCTTTAGCAGCTGTCCAGCAGGAAAGATAGGGAGCAGTTGTTTTGAGAACCATAGTTTCATGATCTAGTCCTCAAGGATTTGAAGAAGGAATGGATCCATGTTGATTTGCTGAAACTTCCTGACAAGTCATAAATTGCATAAGAGAAATTACAGTTGCAAATGTGGTGTGTTGATACTAGTTGGTACTAGTGAAGTGGTTCTCAACCTCATGAGACTCAAGGCACCCATTAGAAAATGCCAACAACACACCACACCTAGTTGCAATCTTGGGTTGGACCAGTCCAGTATAACTTCAATCTTTGTGAAACAAGGAGAACAATTCCTGATTGATGCACAACCAGGAGATGCCTCAACAGTTGAGAAAATAGGCAAATAGGAGGGTTACAAAATGTCACATCGCTGCTTAGTTGTTTTGCATACTTCCATAACAGGGCCCATCTTACCAAAATCTCTTTTCTCAGAGTACTGCACCCTCACCCATCACAATGCCTTGCTTCCCTTACTATCCAACTACCCATTTCCTTATTTGGCATGGCAGCCTCAGGCAAGCTAGTCTGCAAACACTTTCCACCAAACCCTATTATCAACCTCCTTAGCTTAATTTTCCCTCCTAAGAGTACTTCCTCACTACCTTGGAGGGGAAATTTGTGGTGTGGGGACAACAGCAAGAGCAACACAGTATTTGAGGGCAGACATATTGCCATAGCAAGCTAAGGGACAAAAAAGGTAACATGGAGTTTAGCCCCCAACACAGATGCAACCAGTCCTCCAAACATGCCCTGAAATGTGCAGTATTTTACAGAGCTGAAAGACCATATCCTCTGCTCTTCCACTGCGCTTCCATATTTGTCAGGAAGGGGAGAATACACTGTAGGCAGTCTACAAACCTGGGAGCTTTTTGCCTAAAATAGCCTTTCTGGTGGCTTTTCCTGATACAGACTGATGTCTGTATTCTTCAAAACTCATAACACAGTACTTTTTTTACAAGGAAGAATTGTAAAGAATTCTTCATTGGCATTTTTAGCCAACTCTTTTGTGAGCGTTATATAACACATCATTGTAATGTGTTTTTAATATATGCTGGAAAACAGAGAATGCTCAATTAACAAAACATTCAACATTCATAGTTTTTCTTCTGTCACCAGAATGATCTGAGGATTAGGAGAACAAATGAGGAAATAATGTTAGGCCAAAACGACTTTTGGTGCAAAAGTGCTACTATGAGTCCACATTGCTAGGTAAGTATAGAGGACAGAGCAATACTTTGGGCTCACTTAATGAGCTAAATTCTTCTTCTCTTCCTTATGAAAATCTACCATTGATTATGATAGCAGTTTTGCACATTTAGGCTTTAAATCCATTGTGAAATGGCTAGAACACAGGAAGTCCTGCATGCTTTATACCAGTTTGGTTGGGAACTGAATTAGCATTTATTTATTTTTTCTAAGTAATGCGATGTTTATTTAGCAGATTGTTATTTGTTAAGTACACACTGACTACTAAATTCATTGCAGTCTCTCTTTTACTCAGCACGGCTGTATTTGGGCCTTATTCTCTGAGGCACCAAACACCTCAAATCCCATGTTATCACAACATGATAATAATGTTATTGTTTACACTTGTAGCTGACATACATAAATCCAAATATTGCTTTTTCAATAGGATGATGTTTCCTGAATACTAAGTGGAAATTTTCTAACAAATATAAGCTGAAAATAATATTCTAAAATTTTGCAAAAATTCACTATTGGATTCAGATCAAAATACTACAGCTGACCAGCTTTCATTAATTGTTGGCATAAAAATCCAAGATCACTGATTGAGATCCAAATTGTGTTTTACAGTTTGGGACCATCTCTTCAAAATACAAGCTTTTAATATTTAATTAATGTAATAATAGTAGTAATACTCTAAAAATCAGTTAACTACTATATTTTTGCATAGTCAAACTTTTTTTCTTTAAATGGTTGAAACATATTTACTCCCATGATTAAGAATTTATACAGAAAATATATGATCAAAGTTTCCATCCTGACAGTTAATGTTCCTATGTCACAACTCTGGTTGACTTCAGTGGGAATTTTGGAGACATAAAGATAACAAGAACTGACACTGAGTTACCACTCCCATTTAACAAAAATGTCTAAAGGAAATGTAGACTCCCATCTTAAATGTTATTCTGAACATATCCTGGAATAAGACTTAGTGTTTAAAAACTAGTTTATAAATTCTTCCAAAATTTATATTAATAACGCTTCATCTGATTTACCAAGATTTGTAAAAATCCATTAACAAATAAGATAAGATACATTTTAATTGAACAAATTCTAAAATATCCTAATAATGTGCAGTTCTTTTGAAATGTTTAAATGTAAAGTAAATTTACAATTTCAGGTTAATTTAATGCCAGAGAAGATAATATAACTGATACTGACCATTCATAAAAAAAACCTAAGTAAAAATAAATACACGTAAGTTACAAATTAAACCAGTTTTGAGGTTTCTGTGTCTATTATAACTTCAATGTAGTCCTCTACTGGGAAACCAAAGAAAGTATTATGAAAGTGCTATGCTTTCTCTCAGGTGATAGGTGTATAATATTCATATTACACTGGGGAAGAAAGGTTCATTGGGGAATACCCTAAAGTAAGTTAAAAAACAAACAAACAAAAAATTAACATTAAGAAGAAAAATGCTAAAGGCCATTGGTAAAATCATTACATCAAACTAATTTACATTTCAATGTGCCTCAGTTTATGTCACATTTTACCACAGGTAACAATTCTAAAATAGCTAAAAGTAGATAGATTTGATGTGACCTCAAATTACATACACAGCGTATCAAAAATGTCCATGTTTATCTCTGTCATACAATCACAGCTGTTAGTTTTTTAGTAGCAATTTGAACACTTTCCCTTGCTTTCAGGCCCATCCTAACCTTCCTGAAGAGTCCACTAGTGCCCTCTCCGTCTTCTCTGGTTCTTATTTGGAGGTTTAAGTAGACTCTCTCTGTATTTAACATTTGTATGGAATAGTCGAACCATTTCATGGTCTTTGTTATCCAACACCCTGGGCAGAAAGAGAGAGGATTTCTGTGTCCTACGGGTTTTAAAGCCCCGTCTGGGTCGTCCTTTCCCATTGATAGAGACATACCAGAGCCTTTCAGCACTGGCTTTGCGTTTGTTGTTGGCTCCACTGGGCACAGTCCGGTATAGGCGAGATGCATAAGTGTTATAGCCCAACTCATGGATCCTTTCCACAAATTCACACTCTGCATTGTAAGTTTCCTGTAAAGTAAACACCATCATCATTAGCTTCAAAAAGATGATGCTAGCAAAATACATTTGTCCTAATACAGGTAAAGGACTTTAAGAAGTTTCAGTTGGATATTAAGGAAATAGCTGCAGTATATAGAATACAGCATCTGTTATTACAAGGACCAGATATCACAAGAGGACTCTAGAATAGAAGAGTAACTTTTTATGTATCAGTTGTATCACTGCAATATCAGAACAGTCTAGAGTCAAAAAATTTTTCACAAACTAATATGAAATGGAAAAAGACAATACTACTAGTTATAGTTACTTTGTAAACTGTTATATGTCTCTAGAGGTTTTCCATTTCTTTTAATCTTATGACTTCCTTGCTGCTACCTCATGTGACCTCCACTTCTGTTGTTGCAGTCACCTGTTTCCTCTTGTCTTAAATTTAGACTATACGGTATTTGAAAGAAACAACCTTTTTTGTTTTATGGGGCCTTAGTAGTGAATGTGTTGCTTCTAGCTGCTACTCCAATATACATTAATAATTATCATAATCTCATAGGTTTGAACCTGGGACTAGAAATAAAGAACTGTCCCTAGTTCACAGTGGGCACATCTACACATTCATTAATGCGCCTTTGCTACTGGGCATTCAGTTTAGTACCTCTAATATGAAGTACTAGATAAAGGCACAGTAGCTGTACAAAGGTGAACATTTTTTGTGACACTTAATGTGCAGTAGACTAATTCTACTGTACATTAGTACATTAGCATGTTTTTTTCCATGACTTGCTAATGTGCAGTAGAACAGTCCACTGCACATTAAGGTGTCTCCTGTAGATGAGCCCAGTGCTGATTAGGATGAGCTACTTAGCACTTGGGCTCAATTTCCCCATCCATAAAATGGGGGTAAAAATACTGTTTCTTAGAAATAGTTTGAAAATTCATTAATGTCTGAACACCACTTTGAAGGTGAAAATAAATGCTATTTGTTCAGCTTTGATGAAACTAACAGTTCTTTTGCATTTATTTAAGATCAGGGAGGTGCAAGTCTTCAGACAAGGTCGTCTGAAACACCCGGATGCTCCTCTACTGTAAACAGCTCTATATACTGTTTATAGTAGAGGGCCACCTGTGTCCTTCCAGGTTGTTCCCCCACTCCATCACTGATATGCTTCTCATCTTAGTATATGTTCCTGATGCCACTAGAAGCTACTCCCTTCATGTGTACTTATTTTAATATACCATGCTGAAATGTGTCCCTTTTGCCTGATTCTCAGCTAAAAGAAAAAACTAGAATGTGAGGAATCCTTGAAGTGAACAGTAGCAATTGGTGTTAGAGTTTTAGTTCCTTATAATAAAGGTATTCTTCACATTGCACATAGCTACAAATGTAAGTCTCTTCATTTCTTTGTCATCTCACGAGTTAAACAGGCAATATGTGCAAAGCATTAAAACAAAAAGGAAACTATAGAAGGGTCTTGGTTGGTGTCTTCTCTAAGATGTCTTCTCTTGAGGAACAACTGTCCAGTAATTAGACCACTAGCTTAGGGCCTTGGACAGGTAGGTTTAGTTCCTTGTTCCACCATATTCTTTTGGTTGGAAACCTGCCCATGTCTCTAAAGACCTGATTATTAAAGATATGCAGGCACTTAAAAATGCTAATAAGGTGCTTTGGCTGCTTTGACAGTTCAGTCTATACCATTTCCACATTTAAAAAGTAGAGATTATCTTGCTGCCCTATCTCACAGGTATAAACACAGAGGGTAAATACATTAAAGACTGTGGGGTTCTCAGAAACCATGGTGATGAAGGGCATACAAGTACCATAGGGTTTTCTTCTTCCACGTCTGTTCCTGCTCCAAGGGGGTAGATTTTCATGTGTTCATGAGACCACGGCAGAATTCCATAAAGACATGCATGACTGGCATAGCTATTCTAAAGAAACACTAGAATTCTGGTATCATTTAGCTATTCCAAAGCCAAAAAAATCAAACCAAAACAAAAATCCTCCCCTGTTTGGAAACTCAAGTCTGGAAAAAACAAACAAACCCATATTTTATTCTAGAATACATAATTATTTCAGGACAAAGCAATTTTTATTTTGGGATAATGTGTTCCCAAAGGAGCATGTATAGTGGAACAGTTATTTTAAAATATCTATTCCAGTCAGTTTCCTCTTGGAGAGAGAGAATATCCTTTCTTACTCTGAGCTCTTGTCTCTTACTTCCTTCATAGAAAGGGGAAGCTAAAAAGAAAGAGCTTTTCCCACATGGGTTGCCGTCAAGAAGAGAAGTTGTGAAACAATCTGCTTGGCATGAGCGACTGGTGCCACCTTAGTCAGGACGGGGGTGGAGGGGCACATGCCCCCCCCGGCAGCCAATTGCACCAACCAGAAGTGGCTGCGGTGCTTCATCCAGCACTCCTGCTCCCCAGCCAGCACTTATAAGGGGGGCACCAGTGCTCCTGCCTGTCACCTAAGCAGGGAGCACAGCGAGTCAGGGGGTGCACCAGCACTCTCAGGGGTGCATGTGCACCTTTGTGCAGTCCCTATGCATCTCCACTGCTCCTTGGCCTTGAACAGAAGTAGCAAATATGATTTTTCAGTATCAGAGAAATTTTCACAGCTGATTTTCCTCCCACTGAAGTGGAGCCCAACAAGGATAGCCCCAAATTGGCCTGATTCTTTCTCATGCTGAAGGGAAAGATGCAGGAGGGAAGAGCCTGTCTCTGGCTTCCTTCCATTTAAAGATTTTTTTTCACTAAGAGTTTGTTAGTGTTATATGAATTCATGCTATATAATCTTGATACAAACAAGGAACATGTAAGAAGTAGTAAGAATTCACTTTAACACCATTCATTTAAGGCCTTTTTGATTTGGTAGAAGAATACCCGTAGAAAAAAGGATCCTCATTATCAATTAGTAGCTCTAGCTGGGAATGCAGGGAACATTCTGTCTCTGGTCTGACACAGCAGAGCAAATACGTTCCACTTCAACTGTGTGTTACTTTGGTAATGCTTTTTGTGATATAAATCCCATAACGAATCATCATCTTTATACAACCCCTTTATCAAGTACCACTTGCCACTATAGACAGAATATTCACCAGAAGAAAACTCTTCAGAAAGGAGGATCAGCATAATATATAATATATGGAAATAGCTGAGTACTCCTCAAGCATGAAGTGGAGTTACCTAGGTTGTATGTTCATGGAAAACCTCTCATAGCTTGAGGATGTATCATGCTGTTCAAATCAACAGAATTACATATAATGAGTAGTTGAAGGAAGCAAGTTTCACATAGCTATATTTAACCCTACACTTTTTTTCTTTCTCTTTTCAAATCTGCTTTCATACTACAGGATTCCTGCTTAGGCAAGCTGTACAGCCTGGCTGTTGTATAGGAATAGATGGATTTGGAGATTGCCTGCAATTTAATCAAGGGCGTGGGACCAAATTCAAAGTTGATGGGTACTGCGTGCAAGATACCTATTGAGAAATATTTATATGCCCTTGTGTGCATATGGCTACAGGGGTGAAGTGAACTGCACATGTGAACAAAAGTTTAAATGGAAAAATCTTACACATCATAGGTGAAATCCTGACCCCACTAAAATCAATGATAAAACTCCTATTGACTTTAGTGGACCCAGATTTCACCTTGAGTCTCCAGCACTTGCAGCTTTCAGTGTGTTATTTGGGCTGCACACACACAACTTACTTCCTGTGTATCCATTTAACAGGATATCGCACAGGCCACAGCAGTGTGCCACATGCAGCCTGTGGGCCGTGGGTTGAAAACCACTGGTCTAGGAGAGCACATACGTTCAAGTAGTGGATTGGGGGGCTTACTTGCACTTATATATTCTTATGCCTTCTTGTAGTTGCTTCTTCTGCTATATCCCTGACTTCTGACTCCAATTTAAATTCTCTTTCACTAGCCTGAGCACCAGTTCAATGGCTTCTGCCAGAAGAGCTGCAGTTGATGTCAGTATGACATTTTCTTATAGTAGGAATGCTCATTCTATTTTTAGACTCCTTTCCTTCAAACATTTGCATCTACTACTGATGTCAGATGCATACACCTCTGAACATGGACTTTTCAAATAGATATAGATATTTTGTATTTGAAAAGATTGCTGCTGCTGAATTTAATACTGTATAATATCAACACTTGCACTAGTCAAGAAAACCTCAAGTCTATATAATTTTGACTAGTGTATCATTTTATCTCTAGGAGCACAGGTGATATACAGGGAAGAATATTTAGAATTTAGCACCTTTAAGACTCTCAAAACATTTTATGGATAATAATTTCTCATAACAAAATCAAGGAAAAAGCTGCTACAGGATTGAACATTTTCCTATAACATGTACATATATCAAATAAATTCTGTCCATTCATGACAATGGTGTTTCTTTCCCCCCATTGAAAATCTTTGGTTCTCAATGGGAAGATGCTCTCTTTTTTCATACAAGGATTGAGGTACCACTGTCTTAAAGTAAAACTTACTGAAGCATAAAGTCTGCCTCTTTTGTTCATTGCCAGGTATCTGCTGGAAAACAAACCTTTGATGGCAACAATTCCAACATCAACTGCAGTTATCTCTAGAATACCTAGAAAGAGAAAAAAATAGATGAGAATTGTGTTCCTTCCTCTCCTCTGTAATTTCCTGAGATGCATCTGAAAGGTTGCTTACCTCCAGAATATGATTTCACCTGTGTGTCACACACAAAAGGTGATACTGCAAACAAGACTATACCAAAAAGAGACAATAAAGAACAACAGCAGCAGCATGGGGAATAGCTAGCAAAAAACTTGACAGCAAATCCTTGGTTGTTTGATTGAGGCTGAATTATTTCAAGAAGGAAAGAGCTGACACAGAACTAGCGGTTCACCTAATCCTGTATGTATATAAAAATGTTTAAATCCCCTTTAATTATTTTCTTAGGGATGTGAGAGTGCTTGACTTATTGAAGCCAGTCACAAAGCTGCCCATTTCAGGACAATGCTTTTGCTGAGGTCTCCAGAGGGTAAGATGGAGTAAGACGGCTGTGTCTTAGATCTATGAAAGGACTTGTCATTTAGGAAGTCAATGCAGTGCTTGAAACAAGGACAATATGCCTAGCTAAGCCCAATTAAAAGGGAGGAGGTATTTCAGCCCACGGAAGATAGCATATGCCAGAGTGTTTAAACCCAGCCAAAGGAGGCTAAGATGCCAAGGAGGTTTTAAACCTTAGAGGAAGATGCTGCGGTAGGAGTGATAGGGATCCATGTACCTTGCTTTTTGCAGTTCTACCCGTGGTGTAGTATTTTGGTACACCAGCTCAGCACTGCCTGCAACAGCAGATGTAAAAATCCCCTGATCATAAACTCACAAATTGTCTTTGGATCACGGAAACACAGAGTGATAAGCTTTTCTCTGTTCCTGAGTTAAACTCTTAGTCCCACTAAGTCTCCAAGATTTAGGATAATTACGGTACAGCTGTTTTGAATCACCCCTTGCCTGAACTCTGAAGGATGTCTCCCAAAAGTCTTTGATAGCGAGGGGTTTTCCTCTAGGAAACCGTGGTTTTCCTTTGCGGACTTCAGACAGCTCTCTGAGGTCTCCTATCTCTGTGTGCCATCGCGAGCCAGGATTTACGCTTTCCTGAAGCATCGCGGGCTGCAGGCTCCCAGGATGAGGCAGTCTGCTCGGCTCGCCCAGGTGCGGGGGGGGGGCGGAGAAAGCTGCTCGGCCCGGGCTGGGGCACCCCGCAGAGAGTCCCCACCTGCAGCCCACGACCCTGCTCGGCTAGCCCAGGCTCCCCCTGACTCCTGCCAGAGCCCGTTTCTTCCTCATTACCGCTGCTTTCAAAGGGGGCAGGAGGCACTCGGTCCCGAGCAGCTCCAATCCCCCCTCCAAGGAGGAGATTTGGGGGAGGGCACCAACCAGCGGCCCGGGGGTCACTGGCTTGGCTGAGAGCTCCTCAAGGGTCCCTAGGGAGCAAGGAAAGGAGGAGACCGACTCCCCCTGGGCAAGCAGGGGGCCAGCTCAGGGCACTCGCTCACTGCCTCCCCCCCGCCCCCAAGGGGCCTGGGAAGGATGGGCCGGGAAGGGGGGACCCGCGACCCAAGGTGCTGCAGCTGAGTGAGCTCCGGGGCTGGCCCCCTGCAGCCCGCAGCGATGGCAGAGGGATGCTCCTCCTCGCACCAGCTCAGTGGCACTGGACGGGCTTGGGGGGGGGCACCTGATCCTCCCCGTCCCTCCCGGGGCTCTGTCCAAGCTCTGAGCACTTCCGTGGGAGTGCCTGCCTGCAAGTCGGGAAGGCGATGTAGGGGCGTTAATGGGTGGGGGAGGCGGGCCCGATCCCCCCGCGCTTCCCTACCTGGCCCCAGGGGAGGAGGAGCCCGCCGAGCAGCTCCCCTGAAGCGCGCTGGGCTGAGCCGCCGCCGCGTCTACACACGTGCAAGGGCCAAGGGTGGGCTGGCGAGGGCGAAGCCCCGCTGCCCTGCATCGCGGGGGCGTGGGGGGGCAGCGGTGCCCTCCTGAGCCCCCGGGGCACCCACACCCCCGTGCCACTTACTGTCACTCCCTTCTCAGCGCCCCCGGGCTGGCGCTGGCCCCGGAGAGCCGGGCCCGCCGGCTACTTACTGAAGACGCTGTTCTTCTCCAGGGTGCCGTTGATTTTCCCGCTGGCGTGGATCTGGAGGTGGTACTTGGTGGCACAGTAGAGCTTGCGGCGCCTGGGAGCTCCCCCGAGATGCTCATAGACCCCGCCGCGGCCCCCGGCATCTCTGCGCAGCCTTGGGTCGCACGCCTGGCCTTTGGCACAGGAAAGTGCCTCGGGCACCTCCGCCGCCAGCCCTGGGGACCAAGACTCCTGCAACAAACTCAGGAAGAAGAAGATCCAAATTATAACCATTGTGGCATGATGGCCGCAGCGCCGAGTCTGCTGGGGAGGTCGCGCCCGGGAGCCAAGGACA